GTGTGTGTGTGTGTGTGTGTGTGTGTGTGTGTGTGTGTGTGTGTGAGGCAGCAGTTGATTTTCAGCCTTTTCTTTTGGTCTCAGCTGAATTTAATTTTGGAACAACACAGACGCTTTTTTTCCTGCTCTCTGCAGAAACACAGAAGAAGAACTAAAGACATGCAACGGCGTAAAGAGCTGTTTGAAACTGATCAGTTTTCTGTGTTTTATTTCTTCTTGTTCCTGGCTGCAGGTTCACAGAGTTCCTGGAGCCGTTTGAGAGAGTTATACAACCTGAGGAGCTGTGGCTCTACAAAAACCCTCTCATTAAGTCCGACCACATCCCCAAGAAGGTCATGTTTGTAAGTACCTGTGCAACTGGTTCCGCCTCTTATTACAGACATAATTACCAATAAAACCTGTTCATTAGTGCTGTTTTAAAGAAACATGTCCCGCTATTAATCCTTAACTTTGTGTGATGAAAGTGTCCCTCATTACCGCCACAGCTAATCATCCTGAGCAAACAGACATATTTTTACACAAAATAAGCCACAAATTTTGCATTTTTACACATATTGAGCCACAAATCCTAAATTTTTTACACATATTGAGCCACAAATTCTGCATTTTTATTCATACTGAGCCACAAATTCTATATTTTTATATTGAACCACAAATTTTGTATTTTTACACATATTGAGCCACAAACTCAAAATTTTTACACATATTGAACCACAAATTCCACATTTTTACACATATTGAGCCACAAATTCTAAAATTTTGCACACACTGAGCCACAAATTAAAACTTTTTACACATGTTGAGCTGAAGTTTGCATACTGTACTTTGAGAGTTTACAGATTACACAGGATTCTCCAGCTGTAATTTTGATGAACAGAGAGACAAATAAAGTGTAAATAAACATAAAACTAGCTGATGATCAGTTAATCTGCTCAGAGTGCATTAATAATAATTTCCAACATTAAAGTAGAATAAGGAGAAAAAGCAGTTGTGTGATCATTCATCTGCAGAGCTCAACGAGCGGCCCAGAGCCAAACATAAAGTCATTTTACCGTCGCTCTTATTTCTGTTTCCCTTTTCTTTCAAGCTTCAAACACATGCTGACAGTTTTTATTAACCTCGGTGTGCACAGATCTTAGTGTCTTTAAATTATAAATAAGAAAAGCTGTTCTGCTGCAGACGTCTCAGGAGCCTGCTGGTTCTGACGGTCGAGCAGAGTTTATGGGTCTGGATCGACATGGACCTGCGTTCTGTGCACGCTGCCTTCATTAGAAGGTAGAAGCCACAGGGCAGCCTGGAGCTGCAGGATTGATTTATTTTATTTAGTTTTTGACTCGGACACGTTTATTTATAAATCATACAACACGTTTAGGCTGGAAAAGTTCAGTTTAATCAGTAAAAATTTCACTAATCTGCCATGTTTTTGTGTTTGTTGTTGTTTTTTTTCCATTTTTCGTTTTGTTCTTCAGCCACGCCCATCTACCTGCTCTCTGTCTCACCTGTCACAGCTGCAGCCACTTCCCTCATCAGTCCCAGACCCTATAGGCCTTTAATCAGTCCTCAGTGGAGCGCTGTGTTCTCACACCATGTCCAGTTTGCCTTGTGCCTGTATTTTATTTTATTTTATTTTTTCTCCATCTTTGAGAGACTTTTTTCTGCCACAACAACTTTTGGTTTTGTTTCTGGGTCCAGTTCCTTTTCACCCGTGATAGAACCAAGTTTGACTTCCAAGTCTGGGTCAGAATTTGGAAATCAGAACTGTTTCTGTCCTTTCTGGAGTACTTATATACATGAGTAGAACATTTCAGTTCTGTGAAACAATCAGAAAATTTACATCGGATTGTGTTAACAATTAGGTTGAAGGTGAGTTTGTTTAAATACAGTTAGATATTTTTTATTAACTGCCCTTTTATGAACATAATCCTGCGTCCATAATGGGCACAGWTAATATTAAAACTGTATATTTCTTATCAAAGGATCAGTAAACAAATTATTGATCAAATATTTTTACATACAAGAAGTCTGACGTGTTAAAAATGCAACATAAACAAGGGATAACAAACAAAGGTTTAAAAAAGGAAACATAAGATTATGAAGTATATTGAAACAGAATGTCAAAATAAAATAAGGATGAGACTGTTTAGATAAAAGCCTAATGGAAACTAGCTGAACACAAAATGTATAAAGTTCAGTATGATGTGTGTGTGTGT